GGACTTATGAACAAGAAACCAATAGGTTGCACTATTCTTGGCGGAACCAAGATATATGCAATCTATGGTTTTTGGTCCAAGTTTTGTCCTCTTCGGCAAATGAACTTGACCCTTGGCCAAACAACCCCATATTGTCATTATTTTTAAGATGGGTAACCTTCCTTTCCATAATCCGTATGGACATTTATTACTCTTTTTGTGAGGGATTCTGTTACGTATCATATTTGCAGTGAGGTAAGCCTTGCCCCATAAGCTATGTGGTACTCCTGATGTTATCAACATTGAGTTGATCATATTTTTCAATGTTTGGTTTTTCCTTTCGGCTACTCGATTTTGTTGAGGAGTATAGGGAATCTTCTTTTGATGTACAATACCATGAGAGAAGCAAAATTCAGCAAAGTCATTAGACTCATATTCTCCTCATCTATCAGATCTAAGGATTTTGATCTGTTTATCTTGTTGATTCTAGACTTCGACTTCGTTTGTTTTGAACATGTTTAAAGCCTCATCTTTGGTATTGATTAGGTACACATAGCAAAAAAAATTGCAATCGTCAATAAAGGATATGTAAATAGTTTTTCCTCTGCATGTTGGAGTTGCTTTATGGTCACACAAGTCACTATGGTTTAGACTAAGTACTTCATTAGTTTTCTTAACGGATTTATGTGAATGTCTGGAGCATTTCGATTCTATGCAAATTTCACACTTTGAATTGTTCTTAATTGAACAAGACAGTAGCATGCCATGTTTTGTTATTCTTTGAAAACAATAAAAATTGATATGTCCAAGTCGAGAATGCCATAAAGCAAAAGACTAAATCATGTACATAGAAGTTGAACTAGAGATCATTATTTTATTAATATTTACATTGTCATTATGTACATTACAAGTGATTTTGAAGAGCCTCTCAAATATGTAGACCTTGCCAACATATAGTCCAGCTTTCGTAATTACAAACCTATTGGATTCAAATACAGTCTTGAATTCCTTATTGCTTAACATAGGTCTATATATTTGCTGAATATATGGAAGTGAGCTTTAGTATCACCTTTCTTTTTCCAACTCTTCATAATGGCAGGCACATAAAATACGTTTGTAAGAACAAGGTCTTTCCCGGAAGTGAGCTTTAGTATCACCTTCCTTTTTCTTTCTATCTTTGTTGTTAAAGCATTCCCCATAAACATCGATTCTTCATTACTCACTTTCTGGTAAGTTGCAAATGAGCTTTTGGAGTTGCAAATGTGTCTAGTGGCTCTGGAATCAAGCCACCAATCCATAGTGTTGATTACCAAATTTGCTTCAATGTGCGGTTTCTTGAACTTCTTCTTTTGTGGAGCAAGAGAGTTCTTGAAAGATGGTTTCGGGGCCACACCTTTGTCCTTAAACTTTTGAAACTTTCCCTTCGATGTGTTTACAGCCACAATGTTTGCATTCGGCTTAAGGGAACTAGCATTCGCTTTCTCATTCAACTTCTTATCCTCTTCAACTTGGAGTTTGAGGACAAGTTGTTCAAAGCTCATATCATTAGTCAAATGTTTAAGGTATAATTTGAAGTTATTCCATGAAAAAGTTAACTTCTCAAGTATAGACCCAACCATAAAATTAGGATTAATACCCATACCTTCCACTTCCAACTTGTGAGTAATGACTTGGAGTTCCTTAACTTGTTTGGTGATTGACTTAGAGTCACTCATCTTGTAGTGTAGGAATTTCCTACCACAAAACATTTGGAATAAATAACTTCGGTTTTGTCTTTTCTCTCTAGTGATTCCCATATCTCTCACAGTTTTTAAAGGTCGAGTGAATATCGTATAAGGAATCATCGAAAGCATTGATTTCTACAATCATACTCGTTGCTCTTCCAAGTTTCCACCTCCTTTTCAAATTGTTTCATCTGGGAGGCGGTATGAACGTTTTGTCCAAGACTCACAGGTGGTTTTGTGGGTTCGTCATCCGTTAGCACGTTGGCGACATGAAGAGTTGTTAGGTAAAACAACATCTTCTATTGTCACCATCTGAAATCCGATCCCCTGAATTTATCTTGTTTCTTCACATGGTTCTTTAACATGGATGAAGGATCCATCACAAACTTTGTTTAAGATTGTTATAACCATTGTTATCGAACCAGAAAATCTACAAATAAGTGTATATGTTGAGTGCAAAACATGTGCAATGGATGGAACATAATCAATAAAATGTGTATGTCTATATATGTGCAATATATCGTTATTCTTATCAAATAGAGTAGAGATACTAACTTGAAATCGACAACTGATGAATGATTAGATAGAGGCTTGCTATGCAGTGTCCTTAAATAGAATTTCACCCCTACTCATGTGGTAGTATCGAGCGTTCGTTTAGAGGATTCAACTATCTATTCGAGTTCTTGCATGAGAACTCAAATATGTCGAGTTTCCTTATGTGTTTATGGATCGATAGTTGAGAGAGAAACCATAGAAAAGGAGGGTAAATATGAATACCATAATATTGGAGGGAAACGAATTATATATATAGTTTTGGCAGTTAAATCGGCAGTTAAACCAATTTTTTGAAAAGTGCAGGGCTTCCTGCAACTAGGCGCACAACTTAGGTCGTGTCTTTGGTCATGCATGTCTCTCTTTCGAACTCCAAAAAGTTAAGCGGCTCTTACCACAACTAAGGCTACGTGGGAAGTCGCAGGAAGCATTGTCGAACATATAGAGAGTTACACGGGTAACCGCATGACATAACCCACATGAGAGGTCGTAGGACTCTTTGTTTCTTCAATAAAACTAGGTTTTGAGGTCAAGAGACCCCAAGAGCCCCAAGGCCCATCTTTTGACATTTAGATATATGTCAAGCTTCTCTCACTAACCCAATCCAAGTTCCTAAGATGGCCTTTTCCTCCAATTTAATAAGCCTTGTAGGATTAGCTTATTGACTTGTCCCTTTCCTTCCTATGTGGGATCAAATCCCTTGTTAAAATCATGACAATACCCTATATTTTGCATTCAAACACTAACAACGCTCCATATTTGAATAGAAAATAAGTAATACAAGAATATACTTTTCTATTCCATGAAATAAGATATGACATACATTTGAAAAGATGACTTTGAACTTGAATCTTTTATAGTGAGTACAAATCACATCTACTTTATGGGGAGTGAACACAGTCTTGAACTAACCACATTGTTTAGTAAATATATACCATAAGTATTTGTTGGTCCTGGAAAGTGATGACTTATACAGAAAGTGTTTGTAGAAGAACAGGAGGATTAAATACAAACACAACAATTTTCACTTTTTAATTTTTTTTCTTCTATATTTTGTATAAAAACAAAGAATAACATATTTTTTGCAAAAGATAGGAAGGTAAGACCTGTGATCCTAAACGATTTGACTGTGACAAATTTGTTAAATTGAAAAAAGGGAGAAAGGATGTTCACTTTTAGATCACTTTCATATCCGAAGAACATAAGAAGTTCTTCAGAGGATGACCCCAATTTTACTTCAGAAACACTCATAAGGGTGTTCTTATAAAACAGGTGAGTTGCATTGAATGTCACGTGTGGCATTTTATTGCCATCATTGCATTAAATGCTTATTGTCCAACTTTAATGTGTTTTCTTCTGATTGATTAATCCGTGCATCCTAGTATTCCTCATTTCAACCTTTGAGCTTGATGTAGACAATTTGTTAGCTTACTCCATCTTTTTATATACCGAGGGAACAGTAAAGTAAGTAAAGTACCAACATAATGGTGTTTTTATACTTGTTTAGGCTGATATGTTGTACATGTTCTTATACCAAGAAGGAAGTAAGATAGTTGGTGAACCAAATTTATTGGTCAAGTTTGTACTTCAAGATTCAGTTTGTTGGCAGTAGTATTTGTTAGATTACTAGTTGATTTTATCTTGTATTGATCTTATTTTTGGCTAGATGACAAACTAATTCGCTCTGGTGACGATTTTGACCCTACTTCAACTAGTCATCGATTTTGTTGAAGATATTCTGCTCTTGGATCAATACAGATAAATACAAGATTTTTACAAGTAAAAATCCTATATTTTTCTATATCCGAGATATAAGCTATATTTCATGTTTACGAGCTATAGATCTTTATGAAGGTACTACACTGGATATTGATTAAGGGTTGGTGAAACTAAAAACCTTTATCCGATAGGAGAATCAATCGGATTAAGATCGGATGAAAGTCTTGATGATAACCAATTGTATATAGATAGATCTAATGGGTGATATATCCAAACCTTAAACAATAGGTTCGGATGATACCATATGAGATATTATATGCAATGAAGTACATCGGATATGGTTCACAAGGTAAGCAAGAATTTTTCTTTCTAAGTGTGTGATCGGATGCTCTGAGTATAATCGGATGGTTCATACCAACAATCTCCCCCCTATTTGTTAATAATACAAATACATAGTCCTAATAAACACCTAGAAAAAAAGGGTACCAAAACTCATAAGCGAAAATTTAAGATTAAGAACTTATAAATTCAATGATCCATTTTAAAAACGTATGGGTAGATCCATATAAAGAGAAACTCTATAAACAATTCCATGAAAAGGCAGTCGACTCAAGATCAATGACGACCATATGCGGTCATTTGAGTATGTTAGAGGTTTAGGTACTCAATTAGCACTATGGATGCATTGTGCATGGTCTTGAAACTAACAGTGAAGTATTAAAGTTATTTGACAATGTAAATGTTAATGTCAGAAAATCTAAGCATCGATTTTTGCTTGACCAAATGGAGGATTGTAGAATTCAATCACATATTGTGTTCTTTTGGGGTTTGTTAACGAGTTTTGATTCAATGATCTTCTCATTTCTATCTTTCTGTCTGGATTTTTCCCAACTAAAATTAGATTTATAAAGAAGCGACATGTAGATTAACATGATACCAGTTGCTTTTTTTAAACTTTAATAATCTTATCAACCAAATTAGATGTACTAGGAACAGCCATTTGAATATCTAAGAGACAAGAGTCTTGATATATGATACTCGACCTTAGTGATATATATATGTATATATGATTCATAAAATGAAGGATGTTTGCTAATCTTGTACATGCATCTGCTCTCAAACTCCAAAAAACTAGTATGGGTTAAGATGAAATAACCTGAGTTTGGTGATACCACTTGCAAAAGAAGTTCAAACCAAACGTTAAAACCGACAAAAGGGGCGAAATGAAACCATTTTGGCCATGAGTACAAAATGTAAAATTTCCCATATCCCGTATAAATAAAGAAAAAGGACCATCTTCATTCATCCTCCTTACTTCCATCACCACTCAGATTACAATCTTAGTTGCAGATGCTTTTCCCTCTTTCTTCTCGCTAGAGCCTCCTGAATTCCAAAGAATAAGATGCACATCATTCACACCATCATAGGAACTTAAGGCAAAATTCCAAGTTCAAATAGACCTATTTACCCTCCTCCTTTTGTTACAACGGTCAAAAGCTGAAATCATACATACATACATACATACATACATACATACATACATACATACATACATACATACATACATACATACATACATACATACATACATACATACATATATGTCTAGAATCTAAGTAGTGATGGTAATTTTATAATTTGGAAAATGGAATTTCATTATTACAACATATAGAAAACAAAATCAAAGGGTAGTCTTTTATTAGAATGAAGAGAAAATAAAGATATATGGGGAACAGGTATATGTGAGGATGTGGTTGAATTGCTTACCGTTGTGCGTGGCTGAATCATTAGAAGGGAAAGACGAATTTTTGTAACATAATCGCTAATCTTGCCTCGTTAAGTCATCTAAAACAAAACCCAAGCCTGGAAAAAAGTACAAGCCCACTTAACACCAAAATAGCCCACCATATAATAGCACTATTACGGCCGCTATTTGGGGTTCGTTTAGCCAAAATAGCGCCGGTAATCGCGGGACCGCTATTTGACCACTGCCATGACCCTGAGTATATAGCGGTGCGATTAACAACATAGATACTAAAATATAAATACTAGAGTAAACAACGAATTTCGTCCCTGGAATATACGTCAACTTGAAAGGTTTAATCCATTGGCATTTCTTTGCAGTCCTCGTCCGAGATAGTCACTGAAACTCACACGGTTAATAGCTTTTCATTATATCAAGTCATGTGCACAACTTGAGGGTATTTTGGTACCTACGCTCTCTTCATCTTCAACCTCTATCATCTTCATCATTATTTACTTTTTTATAAATCAAAATTCAAAAACACTACTTCAGTCTTCCGACCAAAATTAAATAAAAAACCCAACATCAAATGGAAAGCATATTGTAAACCCAAATGAAATATATAATCACAAATCTGAAATAAAAAAACACAAATTTCTTACTCTCATCATATTCTATCAAAATGAAAATGTTATACCCTATACTAATAGTGGTGCAAGTAGTTACTGCATAAGGCGTACAAGTACGTAATGCAGAGGTCAAGTATAATAAGAGCTAGAGGACCAATAAACAGTATTCAGTTTTGTGTGGCTTAGGCGAGAGCCTTGGGAGAGTACTGGCCTCTCGAAAGCCAGCAACCTTTTAACCTTTCGATTTTTCCATTAAATCTCTCTATTATAGTTGCAATTCCATCTTATTTCTGCTAGGGTGCATCAGAAAACCCATTATAGCAAAGCAGAAACCCATTAAGTTTTTGGTTTTTGAAGGTGGGTTTGTAAATATGAGAAATGCATACGTACAAAAACCTCATTACACTTGTCCGTCTCCTACATTTCGCCCATCCATTAAAGCAAAGCAAAAAACGATTGATTTTTTTGTATATTGAATGTGGGCTCGGCCTCATCACACCTGTATTGATTATGATGAGAAGGTGAAGAATTTGACATTGTTGGCCCTGCAACTTTTGAGGAACAAGAAACAAACTCAAAGGAACAATTATTTGGACCAAGATGTCAAATCATCTTCACACACCTGCAGCGCCCCCCTCCATCGTCCTCGATTTTACAGTTTTCCATTAACGATAATGGCTTAGGGACCCAATTATCAAGGAACAATTATTTGGACCAAGAGAACAAAAAGAGTCAATCGACTAAACCTACAAGTTGAGATACAGTCCAGGGATGAAATTTGTAGCTTACTCTAGACATTAAGAAAACTAGTGGGTTCTGGGGTATTCATTTCTCTGTTAAATCAACTGACAATCACTTCATTACTCCTTTACTAGTAGAATGGACCAAACAAACTGTATTACACCCATCTAGTAGAGGATCTGCAACAGATGGAATATGAATCATTTCAACCCTTACCCACGTTCATCAAAAGATTCCCAGAAGGATAGACTAAAACAAGAACTAATGTGTTAGCTCTCACAGCAGCCTGGTGACTATACGTTGTTTAATAGAAATCCCATTTAAGTCGACTAAGTTACAACGCAAGCTTGATTTAGCATGTCAGTGAATTCAATCCTACAACTTAAGCCAACATTATATGCCTGATCATGAATCAGGTACAACTCATCTACAAATTTTCAGACATTGTTTATGCTCTATCAGACTATCACGGTACAATCCGATAATTATTGAAACCAATAAACGACAAGGCTACTATATTCAACATTCCAAAATATTGATCAAGCACAATGGTTGATGAATTTGAATGTTCTGAAATGAGATAACCAGACCTCATATAAGATTGAACTAAAATGAGCACCAATCCAAACATGAAACTAAGAGTATGCTTTTACCATTGGTAAGATTGTAGCTTCTAAGATTTTTCACATGTTTGCTCCAAACAATCAAATATATCAAATGATACATGTTCTAGCATCAACATCGGAGTGATCTCGGTTGAAAATATGAACTAACTGAGATCTTAACAGTATACCTGATTTCACACATTACTAGCTCTATGGGTGTGATTAAATGGCTTTAAAAAGAGTCACTGAACGGTTGTTCAACCAGTTACCTACTTTGATATTTCTTTGATTGAGACAGTTTGGTTTTCACCTAAGTGGGTCTTAACAGTTTAACTTGTTTTCTAGTAACTGATACAAATCATAGCCGGTCTTACAACTTTCTATAAAACTTACCTCTTCCTATAAACTTACCTTCTCGCTTCAAAGACCTTCAATAAGAACCTTCCAATAGACTCTAGAAACTTGTTGCCATTTCAACTTCACAAATAAACTTGTAAGATCAAAACATCCATCACAAAAACAAAACCTAGAGCTTACAATTGAGTTCGGCCTAAAATTGTGTAAGGGTTGTTCCAGAACTCCCATTCAAGTTTCAACTCTACCTAGAGCTTGACTGCTTGAATTCAAGCCAATTATATAATCATATAATTTCTGCGCATCGTTCATATATTTGCTCATCACAATCGACTAATCATATGGTTAATTGCTTCAAGAAAACCATAGGAACAAGGTACATGTACATAGAATGTACGAAGGAATAATTCGAACAACTAACCTGATTGGGGAAGTGTTGGAACTTCACCGTAAATTGATTTGAGTTTAGAGAGTGGAACGATAGGTTTTTTATCAGCCTCAGCCTCGGCATAGAGCTGTTGCTTCCAATCCCAAATGGTTTGTCGCATTGCTTTATTGGATTTCACAAGCGAATCCCTTTGCGATTCTAGGGTTTCGATCTGGCTTTGTTGATGGAATGATCTAGCGGTCAACCCCGCGAACGCACCCACGAGGAACACGTTGATTACGGTGTTGTTGTTTGCTGCTCTGCTCGCAAATTCCATTGCCCTCGTAGCCAACTCCATCGCTCTCGAACAAAACACGGATACACACACAGAAAGTTACTCTGTGATCTAAGGATTGAGTCCAAACAAAATCAAATAAGAATCCCCCCGAAAAGTGGTTCAGTTCCACTTAACGGTTTCAGTTAAAAGTTTGGGTTTAGGGTTTTGAAGTCTCAGTTTCAGGTTGGTTTAATCCGCGGGTACCCGTCGCCGTCCCTGATGGTAGGAGTACTCAAAAACCCTACCCAGTCGATGAATCCAGGAAATAACTCGATATGAAACACCTCGATGTTTAATTTAGAAAATTTTCAAAATGGTTGCACAACTAATTATCATAATATAAAATAAAAACTAAATTAAAAAAATACGATTTTATCATACACACACACACATATATATCTATACTATATTATAAAACATTTGGCTAAAACTCTTAAAAACTCTTAAACTCTTAAACTCGTTCATCCCTAAACAATTTCATCCCTATCCGATTTCATCCCATAACTGAATTCGTGTAACTAACTGCAGATAAACACAATCAAATACAGGATAAACATCTCATTTTAAATATAAAAAATCTAAAAT